TGTGTGAGTGGAGGAGAAAAGGGGTGGGGGAGGGCAAGCTATCATCCACATCTCCCTCACCCCCCACACCCCCCTCCCACTCGCCAATACAATGTCTCTCGGCTGAACTTTAGCTCCAAGGCCAAGGAGAAATGTGTGGATTTGTTATTAGATCGTTTGTCTGAGATGAACGTTTACTGATTAGTTAGGACGAAAAACATGGACGTTTGTAATAATCTCACGCTATTCGATCGAGCTCGCCGACGGAAACGCGTTCGTATTCATTAATTTATAGACCAGGGTCTGTTCACATCAACCTGTTTGGATGTGAGATATACCAGGATGAATTATATTATAGCATATTTTCAGAAATCTTATTTTATCTCCACCAGAATGTTCCATTTATTATACGTACTAGTATAATATCCATGCCTCTTGATAGACTTCTTTCTTTCTGAGTAGCAAATTATGAGAACTACTGTAATATTTGGCACTCTAATAATTCAAATACTGAAAAATGTTGTAATTGTTGTTTCATAAAGAATCAACGCGATTAAAGCTTGCACCAAAATAGGATTCACAAAAGACTTTTGTATAAAAATCAAGTTACATAAGAATTTAGACAAATGTTTAAGTGGGCCGCTGGTTACCTCAAAATGCAAAACTAACTTCAAATATATATATATATCAATATCTAGATAAACAATGTTTGCAACTTGACATGTTATACATCCAAACCCCGCAAAAACAACCATATTGCAACATCACTAACATTGTTAATGCCTGTTTTATTTTCGGCAGTTTGGGAAAGAAAGTATTACTTTTTAACCCTATCCGTACGCCATGGGGTCATTTTGGACCCAGGGGTTTGTACTCTTCACATTTTAGAATACTCCTAATACGAGGATCTCTTTGAAACTTTCAGTATTTCTCAAAAAATCATTTTGACAGACTCATGCTATGCAAAGTGTACAGATCGGATTAACGAGTAAATTTCCTCTTGGAAAAGTGGTGGCACAGAGTTCCCCATGTTGTGTGGAAACGATAGTAAAACACGACGTACGGATATGGTTAAGACGGTCTCTGTCTTTGACGTTTAGTCTTTCTGAATAACGAGGATTTCTTAACAACGTTGTTATTTTATTCTCTGAGCTTTGTTCGCTGTTCTTAGATTCGATACTGTTCTCAGTGCCAAGATAATCTAGCCTCACAAAGGTTAAAAACAGAGATGTGGAGAGGTGAGAAAGAAGATGAGAAAGAGGAGGTGCGGAGGGGATGGACAGCGAAAACGTGCAAACGAGTACGCTATTAACACATACACGCAAAGAGAAGAAGAGAGGTTGGGGGGGGGGAGACAGAGGTGGAGAGA